CCTCCCGAGCACTCCAACAGCGCACTGGCACTGCGCTGCCTCTGACATTACTTCAACCACCGCAACAGTGCTTTGCGTTCACAACTGATCATACTCACTGTCGACGTCTCGCAACGGGAACATAGGCAGTGAACACTTGCGCGTTTCAGCTAGGGCGTCCCAGTACGTACAAACTGCACATCGAGGAGTTCAGGGCGCCCAGGCAGGTCCTGGCGTACCCCTCAGCAATTCCCACAGAGGCAAGGTGCATGTTCCTGCAGCGGCGTTTTGCATCACGGTGTTTAAGGCCACTACTCCATGCACTTGAGTCGATGTAGGTCGCCGACACTACTCTAGAAACGCAGGTAAAACTCCGCCAACATAACGTTGGCCGCGCCGAACGCCCTTAGCTCACTAATATATCCGGTGCGCCACGGTCAAGACTACCGGTGCATGCAATTTCCTTCACACGAAAACGCAGGCGTTGGTGGCGCATCCAAAACGCAGTTGCATCCGCACAAGCGGTGGGGTTTGGTATAGCACATCCCACATCAGCTTTCGGGCTTCATAAAGGAACTCGATTCACCAAAAGCGGTACGCGCGGTCACGGGCTGTCTGCCACATGCTTTCGGTACGGAGTAGGCAACTCACATGTTGTCCAAAAAGTATACCGACGCAATGCATGATGTAAACAACGTCCTGCGCGGACTACAACGTACTCCCTGGTCGTTCACCCAGTTTCCAAAGCGGCTGACACGTTATAGCAGCTCGGTGTTGAATTCTGCTTTGCACCACGATGAATATAGACCGGGGGAAATTTACAGACCGGACCAAATGCGCTTCGAGACGTTCGCTCATGCAGACAGAACGGTGGAGTATGGTTGTCTGGCTAACGTTCCGTGCGGACACCAATGCAAAACACTGTCAGACAATACCGATGGATCCCGTCAATTGTCCACCGTTTTTAGCTACACTGCGGGGCGTAAGCTAAACGCTCCTCCGTTACTGCAAGCAGGCTGTTACATTCAGCAGTGTAAGGAGTGGAGTAAACCTTGCTCTTATGCTTACGCAAGAAGCAAACACCGCAAGACGTCGGCGAAATACAATCAATATGTTGAACCGCCACATTTTTATATTATCTGCACGTTTTGCGCACGAGATATCCGCGCCGCTTCACAGTCCTGGCGGCTGTCTTTGTTTGGACATGCTCAAGCCAACGTATGACACATGGGCGCAAACAACCAGCAGTGCAGCGTAACAGAAAAATGGAACGACCGTCTGTACGAGCATTCAACCTACGCACCACATGCTGCCCAGCATGTCACACATTGGGCACAACGAAAGCGAGCTGCCCCAGATAGCAGACAGGGCTGCAAAGTTCCACGTAGATTCTCAATTGGCAGTAGGCACACGCGACGCACTTGTTGCATGTTCGGAGGCTGCTGTGATGCTTTGTATCTTGGCCTCAAGCCCAAAACGCAGGTCAGTGCAACTTGGCCGGAAGCACAATGCACCTGGTACCGGATACCCAACTGTGCGACGTATCATGGGGCCTTAAAACTTTCAAGACGAGCCGCCTCCATTACCCCGTGAAGTTCTACCTCCCTACAATAGCTCAGCACTGCAGCAGACGTGTAACAAATGCTCGCATTGAATACCTGACGCCTCGCTTTCCAGCTATGGGCAACTAATAAAACCAGAATTTCCGTGGAAGCAGACACTGTCGCGCTTACCAGCCGCGTAACGACTAGCATAATACGCACAGCTTGCGCGTACAGCCAAACGATTCTCACCGTTAGGCGTGCTGCTCCAGGTCAACAGCCAATACTTGTTTCCCTGCGTCCGAAAACCCGCGCAACGCGTCCAGAAAGCCTAAACATTTTTTACCGATCCGCTTCCCTTAAAAAGGCTCTCTAACAAGAAGCACACAAGGCGGATAACGCCATGCACATAGTACAACACACTCCCTGGTCGATAATTGGGTATCTGTAGTGGCTAATATTTTGTACCATCTCGACGGCAGATGCCACCGTACTTAAGGGATCAAAAAAGACCGATCCAACTGCACGGCTGAGTCTCCAATGTAGTCAGGCGTGTTGACGATATATGGCATGCCACAGTTCCGTTCCAAACCATGCATGGACATCCATAAAGATGTGCTGCTGGGGCTGCAGGTCTCGTTTATCGGGCAGCGTCTCACCCAAATCGAGAAACGTGACCGGAGCGCCACTGCCGTACTGCACGCAAGCATCAACACTGCACATGCAGAAACACGTCGGACAGCCCTACAATCCAAACAGTCAGAAAACGACACTCCTTCCGTACTATTAACTCAAGC